GTTTTTTTCAGTTCATTTACACTTGTAGGTAAAGGTGGTACAAAGACAAGATCCTTCACAAATCCCCAAAGGAAGAAGTCGTATGGGGTTAGGTCGGGTGATCTCGGAGGCCAACTGTGTAGAACCATATTATCGGATGAACTGCGACCAATCCAACGGTTTGGTACATGAGAAAAAAATAATAAAAAATAAAACTCGCACATTTTCCCGTTATATTCGTGTTTGAATTATAATTTTCTGTGTGTGATTTTTTAAAATATACATTTTTGAAATCGGATGATTCTTTCCGGGGAACCCTGTATTTGTTATGGTATTAGGAAACCGTATGCGGACGACGCATATTCGACTATCGAACGCGTAAAATGGTCAATTATAATTATAAAATTGTTCGCGAGCGTAGGTGTACTCACCGTCCATCGAAACGTGAAGTGAAGTTGCAGGGTGATTGGTTCGGTGAGGGTGAAGGTGTTCTGGCCGAGGGCAGGACTAGATACGTTGCCGAAGCTACACGAGCCGATGGCAGTGACATTCGATTGATACTCTTTCAGACAGAGCCAGAACGCCGTCGAACACGGTGTCGTGCAGGGTGGTAATCCTCCTTTTCCTCCGCCATCGCCTCCCCCGCCACAACACCTGCCGTCCACCAGGGTGCCCCTGTTGTTCGTCAGCGAGAGGATCTGCACCTCGAAGAATCCGCTCGCGTGTGTCGCCTGAAATGAACAACGTTCCATCACAATATTGTCAGGGTTAAATTACATCTTGAAATGGAAGAATATCCCCTTCATAATTTTCTTAGCTCGCAATTCAAAACCTTGGGTACACCCGGTGAGCCTAGTTACCGTAAGCCGCGTGATTCTTTGCACACGTGAAATTGTTGACTGAAAACTAAATCGGTTTCCGTATCAAGGTCTTCGCTTATAGGGCCGAAGTTTACGATTATATCCGATGATGATATACCAGTGAGACGATTCCTAAGGAAGCGTTCAACGCAGCGGTCATTAATCAATTTTCCGCGTGACTCGCGATTTCCACAGCTACTCCTTTTGAAAGTATTAGATTATTTATCGCGGACTAATCAGGTCGGTTTTTGCCGACAGTTTTGCGTTCCCCGCTCTTTATCGGCTCGGAGCAGCGTATAGAGGATAGAGTGGAATTGGAATGGAATCGATCGAGTTCGTTACAGCGCGCTTCGTTAAACAGCACGATTTCAGCCGGCTCTTTCTAATAGGCATAATAAAACAGCGGGATTTTCCAGCTAGCCTCGTGAAAACGGAAGGCTGGACACGCGGCCCCAGGAGGCGAAAGGCCTCTCGAGCGTCTGTTACGAGCTCGCCGGCAGCTTCGAGCCGATTCGGTGAAAGAAACCGAGCAGTTTCGACATGTAACCGGCAATTTCCCGAAGAGCCCCTAGATCACCGTATTACATACGATGATTGAAATTTACCGTGCGCGTTCCTGCAAATTGCCTCTCCTTCCGACATTCAATCGGCCTGCCGTAATTTCCAATCGGCCTGGTGAGAAACCTCGCGGATTGACATTCGAGGATCGGCCACTTTCCACGTCGAACGACACATTCGCGTTTCCGATATAGATGCGGCTCGCCGCGAACGCCAGAGTTTCATTAGCTCGATTCTGCCAGCTGCGAGAATTTTACAGGCGCACGCTGCCCGTTAAATCGCCGCGTGAACTTTAACATTCGATCGCCGCCGCGGAACGATTTATTACCTCCGGGACTTTCATTTTTCATAAATTAAAATTGACTCCCGTGTCCCTCGTTTAGTAGCCGCGAAGATTTCTTCGCCATCGTTTTCGATCGTTCGTATGAAACAGAGGGAGCCGGTACTTTCCACGTTGCGCTTCATAGCTTACACGGAAGAAAATGAGCAATTTCTAATCCCACGTCGCGAACGAAATTCCTGTTTGTCAGAAACAAGCCGAAAGAAAAAGGAAAAGACCGGAGTAAAAGGATTGTGCTTTCGTGTTCTCTTGTGGAGCAAGCCGCACAACGTTTTCTGGGCCACTCGCCGTGCGTCGAATGCGGGTGAACAAATCTGCTGCATCGAGGATCGTCCACGGTACGCAACGCTTGTATTTGTTTCGCCGGTTGGAGAGTTCGATTAATAATAAAAGCGAGAGAACACGAGGCTCCGGTGCACTCCGCTCCGCTCGAAATCGTCTGCTTTCGACGCGCGAGTCGAGAGTCTTCCTTTCATCGTCCGTTACGAAACCCCACGGGCCACGTACACTTCACCTACACCTATCGGTTTCGAATGCATCGGCCGCGGCCGGCGCGACTGCAACTGGCACACGTGCATCGGCCGGTGTCCCGCGTAGGTGTGCGAGTGAGAATCGGTGTGATCGTGCACGCGCTGCCGCGGACACCCCGCGCGGCCCTCCGTAATTACTCCGTAAGAGTAAGATCGAAGGTAGAAAGCGCGGAGGATCGTCTGCTGGCCTTTGCTTTCCACGACGCGCTTCCTACTACGTTATATAACCCCGTTTGCAGCGAATGACATTTTCGCCGGTGAACCGAGAGAGCTCCTCTCCTAGGCTTCTGCGGTTTCGCGGACGAATCTCGCGGGAATCGACGGCTAAATCACGGATAATATCCGAAGCGGACGCGAAACTCGGGGGACCCTGCGTCAGGACCGGGCGTAGGACGTCGAGGAATATGTGTGCCCATAATTATGAAAGTGGTCTAAGTCATATATTTCTTGTGTGTTTCGAGATATTCAATGAATCGCATTTGAATAAATTAAAAAATATTTTTACATTATGCGACATTTTAATTTATAATTTTATTAGTCTTGATTAATGGAAATTTATTATAGATATGAAATTTTGTGTGAATTTCATAGGAAAATGTTGTTTTTAAAGCTTGAATTGACTTAGACCATTTTCAAAATTAACTGAATGTCCTATAATTGACTTAAAGTAATAAAAAAATGTGATTTTTATTTGAGCCGTTTATTTTGAAAGCGGTGTAAGTCCAATGTCATCGAAAGAAATTGTAAGTGGCGTTGCGTGGGGTATTTAGACAATACAAGCTCAGATTCGGCATTTTGAATTTCTTTAAAAAAAAGAACTTATACCACTTCCAAAATAAACGGTCCATTTGAAACAACAACTTTAACGAAATAATTCATAAACATTTATTAATCATTTTTAAAAAGTAATCCATTTTTATCACAATTTCGAGTTTTTAAGATTTTTAAAATGTTCCTGAAAAACTG